TCTTCTTGTGCTGAATTTTTTTTGCTCCCGTAGCAACGCACGGGCAATTACCTAGTATGTTAAACAACAGAGCGCCTAGCGTGTGGAACAATTTTTCGAAACATTTGGACTTGAGACTGTGTTGCCTAAAGAGCCTCCTGTCACAAGCCAATTCAGTTTTTTAATTGATGTCAATATGTCGTGTCAGAAAGCAGCCATGGTGCCCGCAAAGAAGGTGCAACTCTTCACTTGCTATTAGAGGATTCATGTACATGATTAGTAGAAGTAACCCTAATAACTTTGATTGGCACATATCCCAATGCTAGATTGGACGGCAAAACAGGGGTTCAATGGAGGATCCATGGTTCTCTCAAACTTTAGGCCCGCACATCGATACACACGAAATCCTCCCACGAGGGCAACGAAGGTGCAACTCTCCTCTTGCTATTAGAGAATTCCTGTACATGATTAGCAGAAGTAACCCTAATAACTTTGATTGGCACATATCCCAATGCCAGATCGACGGCAAAATAGCGGTTGAACGGAGGATCCCTAGTTCTCTCAAACTTTAGGCCCGCATATAGATACACACAAAATCGTCCCACGACAGTGGTGATCGTCGAGGCCAATGAAGAGCATCCCTGACACAACACCAAACAAATTGTACATCCTCTCGCAGGTTATTGAGCTTGCAGTCATGTTGATGCATCCTCGACAAGAGTCTAGAGCAGTTCCTTGCCCCGACCCTGCCCCCCACATCGCGCCCGTGGGCGATCGGGGGAAACCCTAGCGCCGCTGCCTCCTCGTTCCACCTCTACCCCCTTCCCCCGCCACTGACCCATCGTGCCGCTGGGCAAAGCCCGTCCGGTGTGGGTTGCGGCGGGGCCTGCTTCCTCTCCTTGCGGTTCAGGGGCCAGCGCGGGATGGCCTTGCATGTGGGGGTGCTGCGCTGTCGCTGGGCCTGGCGGCGCGACAACTGGCGTGCGGGGCGGCGGTGTGCTCCTCTGCGGGGATGCGGCGGCGTCCTAGTGCGTTAGCTCGGCACATCGTCTGCACGTTCCTCCGCTTCGGGTAGCGGCGGGCGGGACGTCATCGAGCTGGGTGGATGTGTGCGCCGCCGGGTGGCCCGATCTCGCGACCTGGCGGGCGGCGCGGGTGGCGGTTGACGCCCCAGTGGTCATCCATGGCATGGTGGTTATCTGCTTCACTGTTGGCGCGTTAGCCTCGTCCTGGCCAGATCTGATATGGGGGTGGCGGACGGTGCACGGCGAGGGGCTTAGGGGGAATGGGTGTGTGGTGCTTGTGCGGATCTGGCGGGGCAGTGCGCATCCAACGCAGTGTTGCAGCTCGGGTCTTCTCGAGCGGCAGTTGTGCGGGGCTGCTGCCTTGATTGGCAGCGGCCGATCCAGGTCTATGGGTGTCGTCTGACGGGCATAGTTGATCTAGCCGGTGATGGTGGATGGCGGCCGACGGCACGCAGGCAGAGGGCCAACCTAGCCCGCATTGGTGCTCACCATTTGCATTTGTGTCTTTCTGCTTTGCTGGTTCGTTGTGTCGTTGGTCCGAGTTGGCACCCGTGTTGTTGCAGTGCCGTTGGTCGGAGCGACGCGGTGGCCTCGGGTGTGGCGGCGTATGAGTTCGTCTCGACTAAGGTCGGGGACTAGTATTGGGGCTTGCTCGACGATGGTTGTCGATAGATACTAGGTCGTGTCACCCCCCAGTCCACAAGGACTGCCTGGGTATGCAGGCGTGGACGCCCCTTACTGTGGAGGCGATCACCCAGGCCCAGTGGCAGATGCCGGGCTTGGAGTAGAAGGACTAGCTTCTGGTCTTCCCACCGTGGTCTGCGTGTTGCGATGGTGATGGCTGGCGGTGACCCGGGACATGGATGCCGTGGCGGCGGCCCCGGCTGGTTGTCCGTATGGTGGCTTTCTGGTAGGCCCCATGACAACAGTGGTGGCTATTTTTCTCGGTCGTCTGGGCAGCGAGGGGTGTAGCAAAGGGTGGTCTGGGCACACTTGTTGTTGCCCAGATCCAGATCTGGGGGCCGGTTCTCGCCATGTCTGGTCTGGGTGCCCCGTCGTGGCACGGGTGAGCTGCCGAGCGAAAGCTCAGCTCTTTGGCACCGGTGACGACGACATCTGCGGGTGTCGTTATCTTCTTGAAGATGTCGTCGTGGTTCTTCTCTCTGTGTCACAGTCTTCGGGCGAAAACATTTGTCCACCTCGGGCTCGGCAGCGGCGGTGCTCGCGTTCCCCTCTTGAGGGCGTTGTTGTGGAGGCTAGGTGTCTTAGGTCGTGTCATGGCGTTGTAACGGGGAAGTCATGTGCTAGTGTTTCGGTAGCATAGTCGCATGTGTTTATGCTGCCCTGTTATCTAGGGATCTGCTGTCTCAGAGGATTACCTCACCACATTGTATCATTCGGTCATGTATCCTTGGTGTTTTTGTTTTATATATAAAGTGGGGCGAGAGCCTGTTTCAAGAGCTTGCAGTCATGTTGGCATGTCTAGCTCGTCTTCACTAGCTCATCACTTCATCAGTGGCATGGATCTTCCCCCTATAGCAGAGCCAAACAAATATTTTGTACTCCCTCCATAATGAAATATAAGAGCGACCAGAGGAAAATGAGATTTCCAAAGCCCCATCTTCCTCCTTGTCACTAGCTCCGGAATGACTTGTGGGTTTTGCCCTCAGATCAATCACATCAATAACACGCAAACACATACGCGTGAAAAAGATTTGGCAAGAGCTTGTATCATGCACCAATCAATTTGACTTGTGCATGACCTCCTAGTACTACTAGAATTAGGACACGCATGACACTATTCAGACTTAGATTAAACCCAATGGCAAGCCACTCCTCTCTTTGGAAAGCAACAGGCTACACTGCGCCCGAACCCCCGCGTCGCCTGGCTCGGGCGGCACGGGGGAACCTAGCGCCGCCGCCACAAGGGCCCTCCTCTCCCCACTCCCCCGCATCGCTGCCGCCGGAGGGGCCGCCGGCGAAGCCCGTGCGTGCCCCAGGGAAGGTGGCGGCGGGGCGTTTATCCCCTTTCCGCGGCGAGGCGCGCGCGCGGTGGCTGGTGGCCTACTGGGCTGCGGGGTGGATGGCTGCGCGGCGAGCGGCCGGATCCTGGCCGTGCTTGGCCGGATCTGCCTCTCCGCCCTCGGTGGCCGCGGCGGGAGCTCGTGGCAGCGGAGGGCGGCAGCCGGTGTGGAGTCGCGGCTCTTGCGGTCGGCGGGTGGGGCTTCGGGGCGGCGGCCTCGGTCCGGGCTCCAGATGAGGCCGGGGCGTGGACGGCGCGCGCTCGTGCAGCGGCGGCTCGGATCCGGCTGGGCGCGTGGGGCGCGGTGACCGGCCGGGTGCAGCGACGGCGGGCGTGAGTCGGGCGCGGTGACTGATGGAGCATGGCGGGTGTGCTTCCCTGGATGCGAGCTGTGCTGCGGAGGAAGGGCCTGCTCGCTACTCTGCTGCTTCATTTGTGCAGTTCCGATCGGATCTGGTGCGAGGTGCATCGATCTGGGTGCTGCGCTCCGCGAAGCGGCGTTGGTTGCTGTCGTGGTGGTGGCCACGGTGGTGCTGCGGTGGTGGACGGCGGCTTCGGCCAGGGGGTGGTGCGTGTCTCGTCGCGGTGGATCGTGGGATCCCGCGGCCAGAATGAGGTCGGCCTCAGCAGGTGGTGACTGGTGGGTGGCGGTCGGTGGTGGCAGGTGGTCGGCGCATCCTCGGGAGAAATCTTTGCTCTGGCCTTCTTCGGAGCCGGCGACGGCGGCGCCCGCGGGTGCCGTGATCTTTCTTGGAAGTGTCGCGTGGAGGTGTGCTCCTCCTCCCCATGGCTTTGGCTCCAGAGGGAAACCTCAGATCCGCTGGATCGGGCGATGGAGGCGTCTTAGCGTCTTTCTCCTCCTTGGGGACATCGTCTCGGAGCCGGCGACGACTGGGAGTCTGGTGGATTGTGGCATCTTCGCCGTGGATGGCGGCATCTTCGCTGCGTGGTTGGCTGAGGCGGGGCGCTGGTTTCTGTTTGGCAACGATGATGTCGTCGAGAGGAGCTCGGGTCGCGGCATGGACTTCGGTAGTCGGTTCTTCCTGGCGTGTCCAAGGTGCCCTCTTGGGCACGGTCGGTGCAGGTCCTGCATATTTCCCTGGTGAGGCTCGTCGTCAAAGTCGGAGCTGTCGGCTGCTTGCGCGTGTGGTCTTCCGGTGGCATGTGCCGTCGTGGCTTCTATGCAGCTGTTTGCTGGTTGGCTTCGAGGTTGGAGCTCTATGATGAAGTCGGAGTCGCCCGTTCGAGGCAACCGGTGATGACGATAACGCTTGTGACTCCTCGGCGAATGCCTTTCTTGTTTGCAGCTTTCTTGTTGGTTGGTGGTGCCCATGTTGTGGGTTGAGTTGTATCGGTTTTAGCCCGGTTTTCCGCCAATTAACCGGACAATTCTCTTCTTCTTAACCAATGAAAATGGCAAATCTTTTGCCTCGTTTCAAAAAAAAAAACTCAATGGCAAACTTTGCGACTTGACGAACTAAAATATGACATGAACAAGCCTAACCTAGACACCTACTCCCTCCATTTGGAATTACTTGTCGCAAAAATGGATGTATCTAGACGTATTTTAGTTCTAGATACATCCATTTTCGAGATAAGTAATTCCGAACGGAGGGAATAGTACTAATTAATCGAGTTGAGCATACCGTAGACTCACGTATGAGAACTCTACTTTCTTATCTAGATTACTAACTCAAGATTAGGCTAGAACTCGCATGGTAAAGAAACGCGAATGGATCATGGATAGCCAGAGACTGAGAGCTCACCATGCATGGAACCGTGCATGCGTAGTTTTTTCCTGTTACCATGACTTGTGTTATAAATCTACAAACATAACTTGTATTATCTGCTAAATGGAATTATGCAGAAGGTGGCAAAAAATATATTAAGATATATGTAAGAGTTCACTCATTTGCAAAACATGTCCGGGCTAACAACATTACCAGCTTTAGGAAAGACTCAATATGAAAATATCAAACTAATCCCATCGAAATGGAAGAAGGTAATGACATTATGCAGTTCACCAGCAAATCAACCATAGTTTGAGAAGAGCCACCTTTCTTTATACACCGGGTTGCTTTGTCCTTGAGATCATCTGCTCTTCGCCTCATCTCTCCACCTTCTTCGCACAACAACTTTCTAATACCCCTCTCAATGTTCCCCCGCTCCAACTTGCCCTCTAACTCAAACCCTACTTTCCACACCTCCTCGACATACCTGGCATTTATCATTTGGTCAGCAAAATGAGGTCTACATATCATCGGAACACCCTCGCATATGCTTTCCAATGTTGAGTTCCAGCCGTTATGGGTCCAAAAGCCACCAATTGCTTGGTGCCCAAGAACATCTTGTTGTGGAGCCCAACTCACCACCATCCCCGTACCTTGTGTCTCTTCCTCAAAGCCGTCAGGTAGGCCTACGTTCCCTGAACCATGAACCGCGTCAGGCCTGATGACCCAAAGAAATGGCATGCGGCTATTGGCCAAGCCCCATGCAGTCTCCACTAGCTCTTCCTGATCCATGGAAGCCAAGCTCCCAAAGCTCACGAACAAAACAGACTTTGCCTCTTGCTTGTCCAGCCAATCCAAACAAGTTTGATCCGAAGACAACAGGCTGCTTTTGACACCTGAGGATATCTTGTAAAGAGGACCAATCGCATACACCGGGACACCCACGCCATCAATGATCTTTCGGAGCTCGACACCTTCGAGGTCATTGAAGGTGTTGAGGATGACACCTGAAGAACACTTTGCTGATTCCACAATGCGTTCTAGGCAGGTGGTCATCGTTTCATGTGGAGTTGTGGTTGAGAAGACCATGTCTTGCAGGCGGAGTGGTGGGAGATCATCCAGTGGCAAGTTCAGTTGCGAATGGTCTGAAATTTTGGTAAGAAAATAATCAGTTGTTGGGTGATATATGTGAGGATGAATGTGTATTATTTGGAAACTGAGCACCTTAAATGTGCGTCTAGTTTTCATACAAATATTCTTTTATAAAACTTTATTTGGAACAAAAGTCTATTTTTTCCTACAAGAATCCTTGCTTTCCTCTTGTTACAAAAATATCAGGATAAAGCCGATACACCAGCCTGATCAAATAGAGAAGTTTAAGCAAAAACAAGCTGTCTATCTACCAGGTAACCTGTAATTTTTTCTATTTCCCATGCATGTTATCATAGATTTTGAAACAGTTCAATTTGTAAAACGTTGGCACTTATTTTCATACAAATCTGCTTGTATATAAAACTATAAATGATAATATCTCTAGGTTTTCCTGTCGATAATATATTCTTAAATCCCTAAATGGATGTATTATTTTCAATTCATATGAATATTTGACAAATATATTTCAAATCTAAGGATTTTTTCATATGAAAAAAAAATTGCTACTTTCTTTCTCTTTTCCAAAATAGTACTCAGTTTTATTCTGAACTTCATATGTAAAGCAGAGCTGTATTATTTTTTCATCCTAACAAAAAACAAACTGTTAGCTTTCTTCTACTACCTCTGTACCAGAATACAAGATGTTTTTTAGACTAAACTAATTATAAAAACG